AAATCATCAAGGATGACTACATGATAGTTATTAGAGCGGGCTTTATCAAGCCATAAATTAAGTTGAGCAAAAATAGCATCACGTTCTTTATAATGAATAGAGTGATAAGGAGGAATGTAAACAGAAATGATAGAAATTTTAGTTTGATGAAAGAAAAGATCTAATTTCAAAAGATGACCTTTCCAAGGATCAATTTTCTGAACATGTTTATGTAAAGGATGGCGAAGTAAAAGACCAACACCATCATGAAGTCGTGAATTAGAAGGGGAAGGAGCCCAATAGGACTTAAAATTATGTTGGGAATGATCATTTTGATAAATAAATTTAACACCAGAAGAAGTAAGACGAGTATCATTTAAAGATAAAACGCCAAAGGAAGAATGTAGGAAATAATTTAACAAATGCAATTGTCGAACAGGGGAGCACAAACCATTAACATTGATTTGTCCAAAATTAATAAGAGGGGAAGAAAGAGAAGGAGAAGGAGGATTGATAAAATTAATATTATTAGGTGTCGCACTATTGGGGGGGGTGAAATCCCTGTGATGCACCCGACATAAATTGGTGTTCAATCATTAGAAGGGGAGGGTTTAGAAGGAGAGAAGGAGTCCAATTTTTCCATAATCGAACCAAGTTGGGCAGAAAGATTCTTTTGTGTAGTAGTAACATTAAAAATTTCTGATTGCAAACGGGAAGTATTGGCATCAGGGGTGATATTTGTATGTCGGGAGACAGGTAAGGGGACATGTCTTTGTGATAGGACGGAGTTAGGATCCAGAGCTGAGAAGGAAGCATCAGGAGAAACGTCCATAAGAGAAGAGGAAGTATGAGGAGGAAGATTGAATCCAGAATTCGTGTCTTGGGTAGGAGCATCATCCCAGCCATTATCGTAAGAATGATTATAATTTTCACGATCATTCTGAGGCGAATGCAATTCAGAGTCGCCAGGAGCGTCATAATTTATCATCGATTCCAGCTCAGATAGCCTATACTCATGAGACGTGAGAGTATCATTCATCCAAGAGACAGTTTCCTCGAGAGTACAGAGGGTGTTAGCGACCTCTTTAATCTGCGCCTTTAATTCATCAATAACATATTGGGGAAGTGTAGGAGCAGGATTATCAGATGGAGAAGTAGGTGATGTAGAATTGGTAGGATGAGGTTTGTGTGGAGGTTGAGTAGAACCGGAAGAATTTGCATTGTTCCTGAGAAAATTGTTGTTATTGTTGTTGGTTCGGTTACTACGTCGTGAAGTGATGGGACGAGAAGTGTTAATATTATTGTTATTGTTGTTAGAACGGGGTGAAGAGGAATTATTATTGCGGGATCTAGAGTTGGAACGCGATCTTGAACGGGAATTGGAATTGTCACGTGATTGGCGCGAATCCTGACGACCACGTCTAGGTCCAGCATTGAAACGAGAATAAAGTTTGTTAAAGCGATCATCCACTTTCCGTGAAGGACGTGGATTACATGCAGAGGGAGAACAACCAGGACGCCCACAAACATGGCATAAAGTCTGTGCTTCATTGGGAAGGTGCCATGTTGAGCCTTTGCCACAGAAAGCCACGGTCATTTCTTTGGCAGCTTCAAGAGATTCAAACGAGGAGAAATTCAAATATACATAGGGTTTAGGCTTGTAAGAGCTGATAGATAAAGGAACGTTAAGGGCCTTAGCGTTAACTTGAGTGGCAATTTCTAATAGATCAGCTTCTTTAATATTCTTGAGAATGCCGGCAAGGATAGCAACATGTTCTCTGCGGCTATCGCGTTGGGATTTCGAAAAAGATGCCGGGCAGACACGTAAAGAATTACCAAGGCAAATAATCGCCCAAATATCATTAAATTGGGTAATTGCATCTGTGGAAGAAAACTGGATATGACCATTATAATAATGTTTTCTAGGAGTAAGTTTGCACTTAATTACAGTGCCGTATCTGGAAAATGCTTGACGGACTTGAGTCTCGGTTAGGAAAAGCGGGATATCAGTGACGAACAAAGACTTCATCTCATCACTGAGTTTGGCGTCTGCAGGGGAGTAATGAATAAAGGCCAAATCAAGGAGATCGGCACGCGGGGAACTGACACAATCGGTATAATCATGCTGATCATTAAAGAAGACAAGGATCTTTTTGTTATCGCCTGAGTGAACAATCCACTTCGTCACACATGGAGCGATTGGTGGTGAATTTAGCTTTGAACGCGTCAGGCGCGTCGCGTAAATATGCTGCAGCATAATAACGAGATGGAGCGGATTTGATAGCAGTCGCATTACCATCGGGAGAAGGTCGGCGCTCTGGGATATCGAAGGCAACAGCTTTGCCTTTACCATCGGTATTAGAGGGAGCATGGATAGAAGCGTCAATAGTTTCAACAGGAGTAGTAGTATTACGAGAAGAGGTAATCACTTGGACTTTGTTGACAGGAAGACCTGAGGGAGCGGTAGAAATAAGGTTGGGAGCCGAAGCAGAAGGTGAAGTTATATCAACATTCATAGCGTCATCAGAGACAACGCGTGAACGTTTGTTAAGCGCGCCAGCGGTACTAGTGGGAGATAAAGGTCGGTCTCCAGAGGGAGTAGAAACAACAGGACGCGGTGGCAGCAGAATATCCGGGTTAATAACAGAAGGAGCTGGAGGTGTAGTCATAGTTAAAGCTCAGTAAAGAGGAAAGCAACTGTGGAAATATTAGTATTATGAACGAGCACTTAGAAATTTTCAAACAAAAATTTCAAAAATAAATTTTATTAGTATTTTCAAAAATTCAGGAAAGAGTTGCGATGATCCTCATATTTGGTGATTATTTTACAAGTGTTTTGTAAGTTTAGTGGCCACTACTTTCCGCACCCTCTATTGAAGGCTATGGAGGTAGGTCGTTCATTGCATCATCCTCACTAAGCCATTATGTAACCATCCCCGCCACCTTTTAACAGGGACAATTCAACACCACAACCGAAACGCAAGGACATATCCCAGGGACCCGAAGGCCTTCGAATCTGCTGAACACCACCCTACTCGTTCTTTAATCCGTTGCATGATACTGTAATGGCTACTATTATAAACCCCTCACCACTACTACTGTCACGGAGGACTTTTATCAGATAACCTTCAAACATCTAGACCCCTTCCATACCACCATATTAGGTACTAGGTCTCACTCAAAGGCCACTACAGCCTGCGATTACCTACCACCGATAGTACAGTTGTAATCCCCAAGCGGTATACTTTGTAGTGACCACCTGGACAGTAAGCTTGTAGGTGTTACCCAGGATCATCCCTTATGGTGGGTATCAACCACCAGGAATCACCAACCAGTGCCCATCAGAGAAGGGAATCGAACCCAATCACCAAGCTATCTGTTCTGTGCACGAACACCGTGGTTGGTCTAATACCTAACAGAAGGTCAAACTACCACTAAGACATTGCACCCTCAGCTTTACCATCTAGGACGACCATCTAGCCATTACTGACCC